CAGGCTCGAGGCCCTGGACTAGCAGGAATGAGGCCCTGGACTAGCAGGCACGAGGCCCTGGACTAGCAGGCTCGAGGCCCTGGACTAGCAGGCTCGAGGCCCTGGACTAGCAGGAATGAGGCCCTGGACTAGCAGGTACGAGGCCCTGGACTAGCAGGAATGAGGCCCTGGACTAGCAGGAATGAGGTCCTGGACTAGCAGGCTCGAGGCCCTGGCTCCACTCCTCCACTCCTCATGCGGCCAGCAGAGAACACAGCCAAAGACTGAGACCGAAGGGTGCTATCATCTGTGGAGAAGGTGTCATGCTCCTGGGGCACAGACAGGTGATTGGCGTGTACTTTCCCCATTTAATCTTCGTAACAACCCGAGACTACAGGTCTCCAGTGAACCAATGGAAGTAAGACTTACTAATCATACAGACTGCCCAAGAGCGCAAAGCTGTTAAGGAACAGAGCTGGAAGCCACACAAGGTACATGCCATCCAGAAGCTAAAACACAACACACCGAGGGCGGATTGTAAGTGACACTAAATAGCTCTGGGAGTATTTGGTCTACGTTAGCACAGGTTACTGAAGGATGGACGAGGACCAAGTGTATGGCAACCACGGGATGGCTCCCAGGTGACTGCAAGTGCAGTGCAGTGAAGAAATCAAGCCAGACGGAAGCTCAACCCGACGGTCCCAGCTAGAGCAGAAAAGAGGAGGACTGGGCCACAAGGCAGCCTTGGGTATGTAGTGAGACCATCTTATAGAGGAAAAAGTGGCTGGGCATGGTGGTGGCGCAGGCCTTTAATCCCAGCTTTCAGGGGGCAGAAGCAGGCGGATCTCTGAGTTTGAGGCCAGCCTGGACTACAAAGCCAAGTCCCAGGACAGCCAGGGCTGTTACACAGAGAAACCCTGTCTCAAAAACACCAAACCAAGCAAGCAAACAAACAAACAAACAAAAACAAAACAAAACAAAACAAAAAAACACCAAAAACAATCAAACAAAGAAACAAACAAAAAAAAACCCCCAACAACAACAAAACCCACCCCCCACCCCACCCCCTACCCCCCCAAAAAAAGTCATCCAAGCACGCATGCAGATGTCTAAATGATGGTGCTACAGTTTGGATCGTAAGTATCTCCCTCAGGCTTAAGTGTTAAAGGCACAGACCCCGGTCCTCAGCACCACTTATAAAGTGTCAAAACCTTAAAAGGACAGGGTCTTCTAGTGAGTGTGGGTATGTCTATGAAAAAGACCCCAGCTGCGTCTTGTGCTGTGTCCTGATGTGCTAATGCACCACTGTCCTGTAGAGCGGCTGATGGATCATGTGCTGGAACCTCCAAGACTGACCCGAAATAAAACTCGTCTTCAACATCAGACTTCATGACAGTGACAGAAAGCTGACACGTGACAGGACGACTGTAAGGTGACATTTTAAAGAAACGATAACCACAACTGTGTGGTGACCTGGACACAAAGGACCACAGGAAAACTAAGGAGAATCCTCTCATGGTTTGTTCCCCTAGCCGCTCATCTGCCGCAGGCCTGGTCACCACTGTGGCAGTGCTGGGGTGGCAGGACTGACTTTGAAGAGGTGGGCATCTGGGAGGTCCTCGGGTCACTAGGGGGTGAGCCCTCAACATAGGACCTGTGAGACTCCAGACAGTCCCCGGTCTCTCAGAGTCCTGCTTGCGCAGACCACTGTGATACTCTACCACAACACGGCAGGCAGTCTAGTAGAGGGCGCCTTGGTCAGGGCCAGTGCTGTGCAGACTGAACTTTTCTACTCAAGGTGTAAGCTAGACAAACCTCTTTTCTTGGTTGAGTATTCAGATGGAGGCATTTGTTACAGTAATGAGAAACGGACTAGCACGCCATACTGTTGGTAAGAAAGTGTCATCATTTACTCAGGAAAAGGTGGACTGTGGAAAAGGGGGAGAAATAAAAGACTCTGGGTAATAAAAAGAACGAAGGCAGGATAAATTCAGTGTTCACGTACATCCAAGCAGGCAGAAGAAGAAAACAAAGTTCTGCTGCTTTACTGACCTTAAACTTGTTCCGATGGTTATCTGGGACAGTGTCTTTATCTGGACAGCTCCAACAGCTACCCATGGCTTCTTCAGAAGACCATGTGAGCGCTGCACAGAAAACAATTTGAAGAAAATTACTATACCAGGATACAAAACTGCAAAACAGGACAAGACTAGAAAGCATCCCACACAGGCATGATACTTTGATGAAGAAAATAAAGCCCAATAATGTTAATGTTTAGAACTAAATTTCATTCAACTAGTTGGTCAGTTCTGCTTAGTGAGAATCAATTATATAAGGGGCAGGGCACAGAAACTCATTTCCAGTTTAATTTATAAATGTCTGGTTATTCTAAAACCATGTACCACTACCTAAACAATTGCCTTCAGTTATTCAATACTTCATGTAGCATGAATCTTAAAAGTTCTTATTAATAAAATCAAACCCGAGGCCAGTTATTGGTGTGAACACTGGAAGATCAGAGAGACAGAACAAGCCACAGCTATCTCACCTCGCCGGATCCTCAGCTGGTCTTGTCTCCTCAGACTGGAGGCCTCTGAGTCCTCATCCGGAATGGGTCT